CTATTCAATGACTGCAGTAAGATATATAGCCCCAGCTAGGTGCTACTTTATAGGATGTGTAAAGTTAGACTTGTGTTCATGGAAATGTATATATCACCTGTGTTTGCTATGAAAATATTTAAATTAAGGTCTTTAGTAATTCAGTAAAATGTGGGGGGGAAACAGTATAGAAAACAAACATAGATACCAGAGACAGTGTGGGAGGAGAGTGGGAGATGGCAGAGGGTAAGAGATAGGGAATCAAGGACAGGGGAGGGGAGGAAGCAAAACATACAGAAAACAAGAAATGGAAGATTATTTGCTGACAATAACATGTTTGTTGATCTGCTTAATTGAGACAATATACAGTGTACTCTGGATGGAAAATCTCATTTTGTATGCTGTAATGATGTACAGTGAAGGAATGCAAATAAATAAATTGGAAAAAAAAAAAGGGTGATGACAAGAAACTGGGCCTTGAGAAATGGACAGAATTCCTACAAATAAATATGTCTGATGGAAGTATTAAGTGTAGAAAAAATGGCATAAAATATATCAGGGAAACACAAACTTATATGCCAGTCAGTTCAAAACTATCTAGAGAATTTTATATATATGCACACATATATATATATACACACACATATATATATATAAAATATATATAAGCTATTTTTAAATCCTATATTTGTAATGCATTATATTATGTAAAATTAGATTTTCAAAGTTATCAGTATAATGTATGCTAGAATTCTTTGGCATTCACCATATATAAGGAATGGGACTCTTCATATACTATCTATATCGGGCATCAAATGCCAAAGATACCCAGGACATGTCTTTGTTTGTTTGCTTGTTTTAATTTGCCCGATGACACATGCACTTGCCAGAGACAGAGAAAAAGGGGAGATGTGAGAAAGCAGTCCCCTTGATGGACAGTCACATCTCAATCCCTACTCCTGTTCCTCCTCCTTTTGGGTTTTGGGCACACACACACACCCACACACACACACACACACATACAGCACATTTCTCAAGTTGCTGGGTCTGGTACTCAAACTGCAGAGCTGGCCATGTAGGACCCGACCACTTTAACAACCACACCATAGGCTGACCATATTTTTTAATTTTTTAGCAAATGACTAATAAATTCTGAAGTAAGCCTCCCACATATACAGGTTGAGCATCCCTAATTCAAAAATCCAAAATCCAAAATGCACCAAAATCTAAAACTCTTTGAACACCAACATTTTGCCACAAGTGGAAATTCCACACCTGCCCTCATGTGACTTGTTGCAATTGAAATACTGCAATACAAAGAGACAGATGAATGGATTGAAAAAGTGTGGCACATATACTCTATGGAATACTATTCAGCCATAAAAAAAAAAAACAAGACTCTTGCATTTGATAGAAAGTGGTCAAATATTGAAGATTTATTGCTGAGTGAAGCAAGTCAGGCTATGAGAGAGAGAGATTTTATGTCTCCACTTAATATACCAACCATCCACACTCTATGGTAGAGACTGAAAGACTGGAGGACATAAAAGCACTGAAAATAGTTATGGACACCAGAGACAGTGTGGAAGGAGGGTGAGAGAGGGGAAGAGAATTAGGAAGGGAATTAGGGGGGAAATTAGAGGGCAAGACATTTGTGGGACACAGTGATGGTTTATTACCTGTTGATATCATGTATAATATTCTCAACTGGACTAGTCTGAGGTGTATCTGATGTTGGGTAAATTCTCTATGCAAGCCAAATGATGTATAGCAATTGAATGTATAAAATAATAATTATAATAAGAACATTAAAAATTATATTAAAAAATAAATGAATTTTGCATGAATAAATGAATTTTGAGTTGGGTCTCATCTCCATGATGTCTCATTATGTATATACAAATATTTCAAAATCTGGAAAAAAAATTCAGAACACTTTTGTCCCCATGCTTTTCAGATAAGGGATACTTAACCTGTAATGGGAAGTATGTTCTAATGTCTGAAATGCTAGACATGTAAATGACCTGTTTAATAGGGCAGTAAATAAAAATTATGCCATTTGCATGAATACACTATGAAATACATAGGCAGAATCAATGATCATTCATGAGAGATACTTCATAATTTTCTGGTAGTCTAAATAGCATGGCACTGGGCCATCCTGAGGTGGCATGGAGGTTAGGGATGCTGGATCCCACATGGCCAGCTGTGAGGTTCAAGTCCCAGACCAGAAGCTTGAAAATACACTGGGCACGTGTACATGCATGCCCAAAATCCCAAGGAGGGAAGAGAGGAGACAGGACTGTGGCATGCCCATCCCTCCATGAGGGTGCTTTCTTTCTCTCTCCCTCTCTCTCTCTCTCTTTCTCTGTGTGTGTGTGTGTGTGTGTGTGTGTGTGTGTGTGTGTGTGTTTCCAGTGAGTGTGCATGCCCTACAGAAAAAAAAAAAAACTAACACACAAAAACATGGCATTGTGCAAAATAATACTGAAGGAAATCTGATGGGGAAAAGAGGCTGCCTGAGTCTATCAATTTCTGGGCTGAAAAAGTAAAGGCACAAGGAACACTAGCAGGATTTGGGAATCCTGGCTAGTTCTTTGATTTTAAATATTTCACATAAAGTTTAGCACTTGTGCCTTCACAAGGGATTTGCCCCAATACTTGTACGTAGCTCTTTAAAGAATGCACACTTACTCTGCTAACCTTCCTCTCTGTACAATGAAAGTGATCACAGAGCTTACTGCTAGCACCACAGGAGGTTAACGCTAGGTTAATGTAGGCCTGGGAGCATTCTGGCTGTCACTTGTACAGTGGGCATCTTGAAAAACTCACCTTCTCATTTAGACCCATGTGCAGACTAGTAATTCACAATCAAATTTTAATAGAAAGAAAATACATGTCTAGAAAAAGAAACTTTTGCCAAGTGACCATAGACTGAAATGCCAATTTTCCCACTGGTTAGCATCCTGCTTCTAACACTATTCCTTAGCAAAGGAAACGTAAAGCTATAGATGTAAAGGTACAGAACTTTCTGCTACTTCTCTATAGTCTCTCTAATACCATAGAAATTATTTATTCTGAGCCTACACAATTTTCTTTTCTTTTTTTTTTTTTTTTGGAGAGATTTTTGCTATAGGGTGTGTGCGCTTGCCAGAAAGATAGAGAGAGAGAAAGTGAGAAATAATCCCCCAGGGGGGGATGGCCATGCCACAATCCCTTCTCCTCTGTTTTCCTCTTAGGATCTTGGGCACACACGCACACGCACCCGGCATGAGTTTAAGCCACCAGGTCCAGGACTCGAACCGCGGTCAGCTACATGGGAGTCCAGGGACATAGCCATTACACTAACTGCTGGTCCCACAATTTTCTAAATTTGACATTTTAGAGGATTCTACTACCTTCCAAAATATCAGATTTGGAAAACTGAATACTACCTGACAATTCTTGGAAACAACTGATGGCTAATTTGTTATCAGTTAGAAAAATCCAAATATCTGTCCAATTTTTTTCTTAATTAAGGACTCGTTACTTTCACAGGTGCCTAGTTAATGCTAGAACTGGAACTTGAAGTGTCCACAAACCTAACTAATTCTCAACAGCATCTTTCCCGAGCATTATACTCTTCTCTTTTAGATATTTTTTACATTTTTGCTCATTCACTCGATTACTCATTCAACAAATATTTATTGGATACTTACTATCAGCCAAGCATTGAATGTAACAAATAACCAAAAGTATGTTTTCCACTTTGGGGCTATGGAATCTGGTGGCAAAATATCATAATAGTGTTCTATAAAGCCACTACCAACTGCTCTAAATTTGAGCTAGCAGTTAGATAGGCAAGGTAGAAGACAGATAGATGAGAAGAATGTACCTCCCACCTCTCTCACTCGGAGGGCAGAATGAAGAGTCGAACCCTCTGTATGAATTTGATGTCTCTCCATAAAGGACCAATTCAACTACCCTAAAGATAGATTTGCTGGGAAGGTTGAAGTACTGTCTCACTGAAGAGAGAAAGTACTCTGCTTTTCATGAGAAACTAGGCAGTAACACAAAGAACTAGAATATCCAAATGTGTCTTTAAAAATTCCATATATTGGGGAACCAGCAGTTAGCGTAATGGCTATGTCGCTGGACTCCCACATAGTCGACCGCGGTTCGTGTCCCGGACCCGGTGGCTTAAAAACTCACGCCGGGCGCGTGTGCGTGCGTGCCCAAGATCCCGAGAGGAGAATGGAGGAGAAGGGATTGCAGCGTGACCATCCCCCCTGGGGGGTGATTTCTCGCTTTCTGTCTCTATGTCTCTCTCTGTCTGTCTGGTGAGCGCACGCGCCCTACAGTGAAAATCTCTCCAAAAAAAAAAAAAAATTCCATATATTGGGGCCAGCAGGTGGTGTGGTGGTTGGGGCACTGGACTACTCCCACATGGCCAACCACAATTCAGAGCCCTGGTCGGGTGGCTTGCTTTCTCACTTTCCCTCTCTTTCTTTGTCTCTCGGATGAGCACATATGTCCTGTAGCAAATTAAATAACTTAATTAAATTAATAATTCTTTTAAAATTCCACATATTTCCACATGAGGTTAACTATGACTATCTAATTAACAAGAAAGCAAAATCTTGGCTCTGGGTTTCATACAAACTCTAACTGTACTGCCTCCTAGCCATCCACGCCCATGGTCCACCCCTTAGTGGATGGCATTTCTATCTGAAAGGCCCAGACACACAGCTAGAATGTGACTAATTCAGCAAAAATTCTCAAATGCTATCGGGTAGAAGAGGTAAAAAGGTCAGAAAGCTCTTGGGCAAGTGTTTAAGACCCTCCAGTCAGTTCAGTCTTCTGCCTGCCTCGTGAAGCACTGTCTTCTGGATTTAACAAGACCCTCTTCTTCAGGACCATTATCTATGCTAAAAGGACGGAGAGATAAATAGGATAGGAAGCAGAAGGTAGTACATGGAAAGAAGAAAAAAAGATTTTACTAAAAATGTCTAGTAACTTAATTTGGGGGAGAAATCAGTTTTAGACTAGACTTCTAATTCTCATCTCTGAATCTATCTTTTTTTTTGGTTGTTGTTTTTAAGAAGTTAAATATCCCTGAATACTTTTATAAAAGAAATGTAAATTACCCATAGAACACAAATCCCCTAAACCAAATGCAAATACTAGTACAAAGAAATGCCAACTATTTTAATTTGTTTTTTGCTTTCTTAGAGCAAAATGATCTCCACTTTTAACTCTCTTGGTTTATGTAATTTGAAAGTACTCTGTCCATTATAAATTATTTCTCTAGTTTATTATGTAACCAGCATTCTCTTACTGGGTAAAACATTTGGAAATGTTCTTTAAACAAATTCGAACATTCCTGATGCCACATTTTTAAAAGGTATGATGAAATTATGAAGAAAAAAAATTTGTTTCTCAGACTACTCATCCAGGTGGTCCTTACACATCATCCTTTGCTTGGGAAAGCCAAGAATCTTTCGTCTATTACAGCCACGAACATGTAAAAACTTCTGCCCCCTTCTTCCCTCCTCTCAGGGTGCCATGTCCTTGTAAACTACTGAAATCAATGCATATCACACTAACAACACAGAGGCCTTCATCTCACACACTCCCGAAGTAGACGGGACTTCTCTACGTCTTCAGATCAGATCCACGAAGTAAGTAATTTTAAACAGGTGACATGGTAGCCATCGCCCGTTCATTTTCTTTTACTTTCTAACTATACAAGGAAGCAAAACTAGCCTAGGTCCCAAGCACATGGTGAGAGCTTAGAAAATTTAAAATACATGTTTTTCATCCTGAGACTATGGGATTCAGATAACAGCAGCAGCACAAGGTATCTGTCAACCTATAATAAATACTAGTGAATGTTTCCACGGTCAAGACAGAATATAACAATCAGCCTTAGACAAGTGCATCAGGAACAGGAGAAATGGGAAGAAGTGACAAATGTCTAGCCTGAGGCAGACTTCAATCTGGCAGAGCTCCCCACATATTCCTAATATAGCATTCAATGGACTAGATATCCTTGGCTTTCTCATCTACTATGTGGGATTTACACACACACACACAAATTGGTGGTAGACAAAGGGGGAGGGCACGAGGGATACTCAGGAAGGAGGGAACCTGGATGCTCTGCTTCAAACAGCTGAGTACAGGCACCTTCCACTAATATGGAAAGTTAAACAGAATTTTTTTACAAGCTGGCACCCGCTAACATAATGAGATGCATTGTCAGCCCTCACTAAGTGAAATATTTGTGTTGCCATGCAGCTAAACAAATGCCTTTTTTCACTTTCACTTCAGCCGGCCTCCCACTCCTATTTCTCTGCACAGTAGAGGCAGGGGTAGCATAGCCGTAACGGGTGTAGTCTGGGCAGCACGTTTCCTGTTGCCCCACAGAAGGAGTATTTATACTAACATTCCAGATCCGTTGGGAATTCTAGAAACGCCGTGCGTTAAGGCCAGTGTAAAATTTCTGCCGTTTTAATATCTTCACTTATCAATCAATGCAACTGGGCACAGAATGAAATAATGCAGTAGCATTAAAATCACTAAACATTCAAGAGTGTGGCAACATTTTTTTTCACATCATTTGCACATTACTATTCATAATGCTACGGCAATCTCCTATATAAAACATGATGAATTCACAAGTATGATTATCAAATTTATGGTGTGTGCTCACTACACCACACATTACGGTTTTGTAGCTTGTTTGCCCTAAAGTAACAAAGATTTGCATAGAGTTTAAATGAGTATGGTCTATACAAACTATAGTTAAAATATTATTACAGTTATATGCTTTTTCCATATAAACCAGTAAAAATATATATATATATATATATTTCTTTCTTCTTTGGGGCAGTGTTTTATTACAATTAAATGAAAAGCTTAGCTCTGCTATTTCTCTGAAAACAAAATCAAGGCCAAAAGAGATAGAGTTGAAGAACTAGACCTGAAAACTATAGAGAGAAATTTTTTAAGTAAAAATTTAAAAACCCAAATCCTAACTAAATGCCTTATTTTCTCTCGAATAAGAGCACTCTTTTGTTGAAAATAAAAGAAAAAAATTCTCCAGATACATCACATCTAGAGAAGAATGATGAAAAAGCTATAGCTGGATTTTTCTTGTCCTTAAACTGCTGTTGGGGCAACCCGGTATCTTAAACCCGGTTTTCAGAGTTCCCTCCCACACTTACTGTCCGCGCCGTGACAATAGTGCATCTCCAGCTGCCCCACTCAACATCAGGTCTCCCTGTATCTTGTAAGTGGTTTTCCAAAGTTCAAAGTCAGAAAGTATTCCAAAGAACCACTGTGAGTTTAAAAAACATCCCGACATGACTGGGGAAACTGTGACAGAAGGGATTTTTTACATTTTACTGAGATTTCTCAAGGTGAATCCAACTTAAAAGTAATTCAACTGTTCTGCTTTTTAAACATGAGTTGGGAAATATATTCTGTCTTGAATAATATACAACTAATTGACAGTTGTCACAGAGGTAATTGTTCTCTTCTTACTCTGACCTTTTAAAGTTCTTGCTCCAGTGAAAAGTTAAACCATGCTTGAAACATAACAAACAAGACAAGATAAAAGAATTTACTAAAAAAAAAAAAAAAAAAAAAAAAATTCTCCAGGGTGACTTTAAACTGAGGGAAAGGTCAAAAAAATGACTAAGACTAATGTGCTACAATTATTAAACATTTTTAAAGGAAGTTATTTCTTTGTTTCTTCTTACTTTTTTTTTTCCTTTTTGTTCTCGTCTAATTCTGGATTGCATTTGCTTTCCATGAGTATTTGAAGAAAACTTTGCAAAACCTTCCAACTTGAGACAACAGCAGCAGACTACATTTTCCAAAGGGAAGTCTAAAATAAGTGAAAATGTGTATTCCTTTCCATTCCCATAAAATTTCAACATTGAATCTGACATTTAGAGATGACTAGTTTCTATGGCAAAGAGGTATGTCCGGTACAATTCCCCAAAGGTATTCAAGTACATCTGGGCAAACCAACGTCTGGTCTAATGTTAACCTCATTTAAAGAAAGAGAAAGAAGTAGATAAAAGATGGAATTGTGATTCTAGACAATTTTTCACTAACTGGTCTTTTTAAACTATATGTATTTCTCTTCAGTCTTAAGGCCGGGTGCATGTGTATGTGCCCAAAATCCCAAAAGGAGGGAGAAATGAAGGAAAAAAGACCTTGCTCCAAGGGGAGGTTCCTCACTTTCCTTCTATCTCTCTCCATCTCTGTCTCTCTCTGGAGAGTACATGAATCTTCTGACAAATTACAAAAAAAAATAGATAACTAAGTTGGAGAAAAATAATTTAATTTTTATCTTGCAGTTTTGAACCTCTGGCATATGATAAAATTCCACTGCTTACCAAGAGGTAGTTAATCCTTTGGGCTAATCATTACTTAGAATACAGCACTGGTTGGCTTATCTCCTATCTACATCAGAGTTACTCATCAAAGGTGTCCAAAGATGGGAGAGACAAAACAGACCAAGGACACTATGCCTTTCAAACTCAGTAGCACTTAGAAGAATCCTGGGCCTCCAAAGTCTGACAGATTTAACTGAGACTTTTCACACAATCAGGTAAAGAGGGCCAGACTAGTCAGCAGATGTCTTATTCAGATAACAAAGAGAATATTTTAGTGACAATGTGAGGGAAAAAAAAAAAAAAACAGCAAAATTGATACAAATCTATTGAACCATGTCTCCCTTTTCACTCTGCAGAACTCAGCCTCAAGTCTAACAGGGACATTATCTATATTCTTGAGTAAATACGAAGACAATCGAACATATTTAGTTACAAGTACACCAAATAAAATACTTGAAGGAAATCAGCACATCATTGTTAAGCAAGATAACATATCTGAACTCTCTCTAAAGATTTAAGACAAGGATAATGACTATATATTGATATTCTAGTCTCATAGATGGGAAGGAATGAAATGGAAAGATTTTTGCAGAATTGCTGGACAATTTATCCTTGATTTCATTTCTAACTTAATATTAGCATCTAGTAAGTCCAATTTCATTGCATAAGTTACAGAAAATGTGCAAACAAGAGATAGTTGTTAATAACTCCTCTATTTCATACTCGTGAAGAAGTAAAAGTAGTCATTTGAACAAAGCTCACTTCAGCATTTGTGGAAGTAATTTCAGTCCCTATGTGGGCCTTTCATAATGCCTATTACCGCAACTAAATGTGTTCATAAAGAGCATAATAATGATGGACAGAACCTAATAATACGCAAGAAACCAACTTGGAATATAGTTTTAATTTGGAACTAGGGAGAATATAACTGTTTTTTGTTTGTCTGTTTGTTTTTGTTTTATATCTCCAGCAATCAAGATTAAGGGAAGAATAGTTTTCAGTAACCTTAAGTAACATTTTAACTAAAAAGGGAGGGAGACAAAGCTGGCTCTGTGGCCTGGTGGTTGAGACAGCCAGATCCCACATGGCCAACCTTACAGTGTGAGTCCCAGACCCAGTGGCTTGAGAAACACACCAGAAGCGCTTGGATACTTGCCCAAAATTCCAAAGGAGGGAAAGACAAGATGGAGGAGAGGAGATTGAGTGTGACCATTCCCCACGGGGGTCCTTTCTCCTCTCCCTCTCTCTGTGTCTCTTTGTCTCTGGAAAGTGCACATAACCTCTAGCAAAAAAAAAAAAAAGCTGTGAATGAAGACACTTTGCAATGGTACTATTGAATATCAGAGCAGACGCACTGTAGGAATCAGTCAGAGCCAGTTTAGACACTGCCCAACTTACTTTACAACCATCTGCATCAAATATGCTTCATTAAAACAGAACCATATGGAAAATAAGCTCGTGATTAACACAATTTCTGCACGTGCCTCTAATACACTAGATTTTTAACTTTTAGTGAAACTGACTTAACTGCTTCCATGTTGCTGCTATGTAGGACTCAGCAGCAATCCCTAGACTGTCTCACCCTCCACACCACGTCATTTCAAGATATTGCTGAGTCATTGAAATAAACAAAAATGAAAGAAATACAGTATTTTACCATTTCCTCATAGTTAGTATCAGCCATTAAAACAAAACCAGGTACATTGAAACAATCAGTTGCTCAAATGGTAACTAACATCATGTGATACCAAAAAGAAAATAAAAACACTTTTAATTTATATAAGTCACATTATTGGCTTTTACATTTATTAGTTAATTTCTCTTGGTTTTGTTTGTTTGCTTGTTTGGGTTTTTTGTTTTTTAATTTTGCTAGAGGGCATATGCATTCACCAGAGAGAGACAGAGAGAGAGAGAGAAAATGAGAAAGCACCCCTCCTGGGGAATGGTCACACCACAATCCCTTTCCTTCATTTCTCCCTCCTTTCAGGATTTTGGGCATGCACACACATGCACCCAGCATGTTTCTGAAGCTACTAGGTCAAGGACTCAAACTACATAGTTAGCCATGTGGGATCCAGTTGCCTAACCACCTTGCCATGGGCTGCCCTAGTTCATGTATTTTAAGAACAGATATAAACTGTTATAATTAGCGTCTACTAACCATTGCAGATCTCAGGAACTTTGATACAAGAAACTTTGTGCAAAAGATTGACATAAAATAGCTTCATTATTGTCGCCATCAATAAACATCAGACTATAGATACAACATTATGTCAGGTTCAGGTGAAACAAAGAGTAAGATAGTTTTCATCCTCAGTGACTTTACAGTCTAGCTGCAGAGATTACATATATGTGATGTGTTAAGGGTATAGATGAAAATAATCAGAATTTTTTTTAATGTTTTAAATGACAATTTATCACTCCCTTTGCCTCTACCCAAGATGCATATCATTTACTCACTGCCCAGGGGTACTCAGTAGAAGACATGGGCTGCAAATCTAGCCAGCACTGAGCTAAGTTGTATGTTTTCTGCTGCTACCACTCTGGTCCAAGTTATCATCTTTCATCTAAACACTTTAGTATAAGCCTCCTAACTGGTGTTCCTACTTACACACCTGCTTTTCTATTTTCTATTCTCATAGCAGAGTCATTCTTTTAAAAATATAAATTACATCATCTTGCCCCTCCCTTAAATCTTCCACTGGCTTCCCATCTCACTTAGAATAAAAGCCCAAGTCTTCATCATGGTCTTGAGAACACTGCTTGATCTGGCCACCAGTCATCTAGCTAACGTCTTTACCAACTTCTCTTTTACTCACTCACTTGGCTCCAATCACATTATTGCTACTTAACTTTTTTTTATAACAGCCAAGTACTTCCAAATTTAAGCCCTTTCTGCATAATTTTCTATTTCCCCGAACGCTGTTCTTCAAGTAATTTGAATGTCTTTGTCCCTCACTTCATTTGGATTTCTGACCAAATGTTTCCATATTGGACAAGCCCTCTCTGACAATCCTGTACAAAAAACATAGCACCCCTATCACTCTCAATAAATATTCATTGGATAAATGAATGAGTGAATACAAACAACCACAAAATAAGACCCTTATAAGCAGTTACATATTCTCAATATCTAGAATAGTGCTTTACATGTAATGAAAACTGAATAAATATTGATGAACAAATGAATGACCACTATAATGATACATAAAGAAAGAGGAATCAACACATTTCTAAAGTTCCACAGTCAAAAAATCCCTAAAGCCTGAAAGATAGATTGATTTAGGGGAAGGAGAAGGTAAACTTGATGAATTTTAAGTGACAAAGGGGGTTGGCCCTATAACCTAGTAGTTAAGGAAGCTGGATCCCATGTGGCTGACTACAGTTCAAATGCAGGTGCTGATGGCTTGGAAAACACACCGGGTGTGTGTACACCAAATCTCCAAAAGATGGAGAAATGGAGAAGAGACAGCAGCACATGACCAAACCCCATGTCGGGATGCTTTCTCCCTTTTACGAACACACATACCCTATGGTATTTAAAAAATAAATTAAGTGATGTTACTATTACTACAACCTGGTAGAAATATAGTTAAACAGACAGGACTATAGCTTAGGACAGAGCTAGAAAAGAACTTGTGAGAATAAGCCATGCAGACTTGAAAGGCATTAGAACAAATCAGAATTCCAAGAGAGTATAGAGTAAAAATAATAGAGAAAGGACTAAATTTGGAAATGCATAAATTTAGTTTATAAGCAAAAAAAAAAAAGTGAATATATCCAAAAAGGCTAAAGAAAAGCATTTACTTTCTAAAACATTACATACCTACTACCTGTTAGTATTGTACTAAGACATTTTTAGTCAATAATACCAATTGCTACAGAAAATGAGAACAATTCGAGCTGGGGAAAAAATTCCAAACATGAAATTAGACAAGCCTAGTAATATTGAAGAAAACAAATTTAATAGAGTCAGCCAGAATCAAATGGAAGCCAGATTCTAACAGATTGAGCAGTCAATAAGGAGATGTAGATAGAAAATAAAGACTTTTCTTTCAAGAAGTTGGACAGTAAAAGAAAGGAAATAAGGATATTTCAAGGGTAGCAAAATTTTGGAAAACTGCTATAAAAAATGTGAATTATTTGTGTATATGTGTTCTAACAATAAAATCTCATATTTGAATAATGTTTTCTAGCTCATAAGGTGTATTCACATACACTAGTGCGCCTGACTGCCTACAAACTTGCAAAGTTAACAGAACAACTGCCATTTTAAGATAAAAAATTCAGGTTCCGAGAAGCCAAATAACTCAGGCTGGCCCCCTAGTCTAGTGGTTAAGGGATTCAGCCACCTCATGGCCAAACATGACTCATATCTCAGCCCCAGCGACTGAGAAACACTAGCATACACACCCAAAATCCCAATGGGACAGTGAAAGGAGGAGAAGAGATAGCAGCATAAC